TCTGGGCGGGGAGTCGAGGCCCTGCCAGGTCCTTACCTGCAGTGTCTTGTCAAACCAGCGGTTGCCACTGTTGAGCTTGCTGCCACCCCCATGCAGCATCTGGCCAGCCACCTGGCTGCGGTACACGTCTTCCGAGACCCGAGGCATGGGTGCATCCAGGCACACGATGAAGATGCTCTTCTGGATGGAGCGCACCGACTCCCGGTTCACCTTGTCTGCAGGTGGCACGGGAGGGGATGGGGCACAAAATGCGGTTGTCAGGCCTGGGGCGGCCTGGGAGGCCTCCAGGACATTCGCTGAGTGTTTCACTCTTAACAGGGGCCCTGCACGCCACAGCAGCCTGTGATGCAGGCCCCAACACCTGGTCCACTTTAGACACGAGGCCAGGGTCTCACAGAAGGCCAGGGTCTCACGGGGAGCCAGCGTGGCAGTCAGGGAGCCCACACAGGGGTCTGACTCGGGGACAATGCCCCTGACTAATATGGGGTTTGGAGGGGCTGTGGCAGCAGGGGTTGGGCTGCTACCTATTAGAGGGAAATGAACTTAACCCCACTGAGCTTCAGTTTCCTCATCTGTGAAACGGGGCTAAGGACACCTGCCCTGAGTCGAGAGGATTCAGTGAGAAACTGAATCCCGCCCACGGCCTGGTGTGGACAGAGGTCGGGATGTATCCCCTGACCCCGGGGGCACCTTCGATGAGGGTGCCGTACGCCCTGGCCCAGGAGTTACGACGACTGGAGATAAGAGGACTTGGTGTGGGCAGAGGTAGGCTGTGCCCCCTTCCCTTTCCCCCGAACCCCACACCTTTGATGAGGGTGCTGTACGCCTTGGCCCAGGAGTTGCGGTGGTTGGAGGTGAGGATGCCCACGGGCTCTTTATTAGTTTGCAGCGACGAGTTCCAGATCTTCTCCAGCTGCACAAAGATCTGATCCGAAGTGAGAGGCGTCCCATCGCTGTGGTACACGTCCAACTCAAAGAACTGTCCGGGTGCAGAGGCAGGTGGAGAGAGGAGGGGGCCAGTGGGGGTCTCAGACTGGCAGCAGTCACCTCCCACCCCAGCCTCCTCTGGTCCCGGCGACCCAGAGGTCACAGCTAGTGCTGTCCTGGGCCCAGCGGAGTGGACAGGGTCAGGCCAAGGGTGAGAGACAGGAAAGGATGTCTTGCATCGCTCTTCCCAGGCCAGGCAGGCCCATGGCCCCTCGTAGCCTCCCTGAGGCCGGGGCCTAACTGGGCACCCAGTGGTGACGTCCGGGGCGTCTGGGGGCACACGGGCATACGTGTTGGGGAAGCGGACTTTAGGCCCTGCCCCGCCTCCCCTGCAGCAGCGTGGGGGCGATGTGTGGGGCCCACCCACCTGGTAGTTGTGCACCACCGTGATGTGCGTGGGCGACTTCTTGGTCTTGAAGTTGATGACTGAATCCTGCTTGGGGCCTGGCACGCGGCAGGAAGACAGGATCTGATAGTACTGGTTCATGCACAGCGGCTTCCCCCCCAGGTGCTCCACGGGCAGGGTCTCGCTGTGGGGCAGAGGGACAGTGAGGGGACTGCTGGGCAAAGTATGAGGGGAGGAGGGGGGAGGAGGGAGCTTCCGGGTACAGCAAGGGGCTGGGCCAGGCCGAGTCAGGGTTCACGTGAGCAGTGCTGGAGACCCTCGGGTCCCTACTTCCCCTTGGCCTGAGCACGGGGCTGACAGACCTGGGCTGGGGTCAGGAGGTTCAAGAAAGTCCCTGCCCTTCTCCAGGCTCTAGTTTGCCACAGGGAGATGAAGGAGCCAGTCAACCCCCAGGGGCCTCTCTGGCTGGGACACCAATTCCAGGGGCATAAGGTCACCAGGAGGAAGTTGCAGCAGCTGGAGCAGAGGACCTCGGCATCCGAATCCCCAGGCTCTGTCTCTCCAACCCGGGGCCAACAGGAAGTGAAAGTGGCTGAGCTCTGAGCCTGCCAGGCACCCAGGGCCTGGGGTCTCACAGAGCAGGGCGGGAGTGGCTGTGTTAACCAGGCAGGTAGGGTTGGGGGGCGGGCTACTCACTTGTCAACCATTGTCTTGAAATCCAGCACACCCTCGATTAATTTGGCAGCAAACCTGGAAGAAATTAGAGATCAGTAGCTGCGTGGCCCCTGCAGGGTTAAGGGAGGGCCTGATTACTTCACTCCTCACTCACTGCTGGCAGGAGCCTGGCTGAGTCAAAGTTCAGGACCTGTGTTTAATCCCAGGTCCCTCTTCTGAGCCTGCTTTCACTCGATCTCTAGGGGGCGATGAGGAGAACTCAGGAAAGGCTGTTGGCCAAGGGCCTGGCCAAATTTAGGTGCTGATGAGTGGCTGCAGGGTCGTGGACAGATTAGGGGTCAGTGCCAACTGGTTCCACTCACGAAGGGCCTGAGGCCCTGAACCACAGTCTGGAGTCTGGACGGAGGTCACCCTTCTGTCAGGCATCAGTTACAGAGAGAACTGGGACCCCGGGGAAGGGGGACTGTGAATGGGAGGGCAGTGGCTTGAGGGGTCCCCTCTGCTAGGTTCCTGCCTGTTTCTGAGCCTCCGTGTCTCCCAGGCCACCTCGCGACCCAGCCTTCCTCCACGAACTGTCTGGGCCACAGTGACCATGCCTGACGCCTGGGCTGCCCCTGGCCTCCCACATGGGAACCAGCAGTTGGAGTTCCTGGACTTGAACCCCTAGACCTTCCCAAGGGGCCTTGGTGCCTTTAAGAGAAGCAGGTGGTGGCCACCGGTGGCTGGTACTTGGGCAGGAGATCCCGGTCACTGGTATTTTTATCCTTGGTAGGATTGGAACAGAGGCCAGGGCAAGTGACATAGCTGAATGTGGAAAAGGAGACTGTGTACAAAGGTCACCCCTGTGGTAAACTGAAGAAAGAGGGAAGGAGGGGTGAAGCGCCAGAACTGGGGTAGTGGACAGCCTCAGGTTTAGGGGGAGGGAGGGGACCCAGACCACAGTGTGGTGGTGAACAGTTCTGAAGCTTGGGAGCTGAGAAGACCCTGCTTCCTGTCCCAGGTCCTGAACGGTGATCTCGGGCATTTGTCAACCTCAGTGCTCTGAACCTCAGTGTCCCTATCTGTAAAATCGGGGTGATGCTCCCTACTTCCTAAGGCTATTTGTGGGCATGAAAGATAATGAACAGGGCTGGGGCCCTGCCGATCTCCTGGGGGAAGTGGACTTCAGGGCCCACTCCGTAAAGGCCCGGAGCCCTGCCTCCCGCCACCTCCTGGCCCTGTGCCAGCCTCAGCGACTCACCGGAGCTGTCCCTGCAGATCCACAAAGTCCTGCCTGGGCAGCACTAAGCCGGGGCTGGAGTAGATGACGAGGGGCTGGCGGTACTGGAGGTAGGCCGTCTTGAGCCACCATTCGGAGAGCTGAGGAAAGGACCGAAGCCTGTCAGGATGGGTGGGTGGGGACCCCGGTGCCCCTTCCTGGTTAGGGCCAGGGGACCTGGCTGGTCCCCCTCTGCCCTCTCTGTGGAGCACAGATTCTCAAAATGAATGCTCAGACCCAGAACCTTCTGCCAGCTTAAACCCACGAGCAGTGTCCCATCGCGTGCCTCTTAGCTTATACCAATCGGCGTTAGCAAATCAGACACCACTGCCAAGAAAAAGATGGAGAAGAAAGAAGACTGGCAGGAAAGCCGGGGTGTGGGGGAAGAGAAGCAGAAACGGAAATCGTGTTTCTTTATCTTACAAATTTTTGCCCCGTGATTTTGCTACTTTTAGAAATAAAAATGTATACTTGATAGAAAGAAAAGAAAGGAAAGACATAGAAAAAGAGAGTCCGAAGAACCGAGTTTTCGCTTGTCCTGAGTGGGCGTTCTCCAGGAAGGCACGAGCTCAAGGTTCAGTGTGGCACTGGGGACCCTGGTCCCCTGTGGCCTCAGGTTTGCTGTTATCAGGCTGGGAGTGGCCGCTCACTTGGATCTCAAGGTCAAGGCAATCTGGGGGGAGCTCACTGTGAGGATAAGTCACTGCACTCGTGACAAGAGGTGGGTGACACATCCTGCATCTCCACCTGGCGGTGCCCTTCAGCCGGGGGTCCCACACGACCAGGGATCTGAGCCTCTGCCCAGGGCTCAGGAGACAAGGGGAGCCCCTGCAGGTGTGGGCCTTCCGCCAGTGAGAGTCTGCTGGGCAGAGCGCCTCAAGGGCCCTGTGACTGGAAACGGGGTGCCCCGCCCCGTTAGCCAGAAGATTCTATCGGAAGGAGTTCGGAATAAACAAGATTGGAAAACTGCCGGACCCCAGACTCTCTCAGGTCCCGATTCCAGAGTCCGAGGCCCTGACCTGCTGAGGCTTGGTGTGGACCCCCACCGGCTGTGTGCAGCCCAACCCCGCCCTGTGTAATCACCTCTCTCCCATCCTACTGGGATATCAGCTCCAACAGGCCACCAGCTATGTGCTCCCCGGCACTCTGCCTCGGGCCAGGGGCAGAGTAAGTACTCGGGAAACTGCGGCACAAATGAATGCACCAGAGTCGCGGGGATGGGAAGATTCCGTGTGCAGCAGCGACAGGCCACAGTGTGGGATGCTCACAACAACCCGCAGCCTGCAGGAGGGCCCCTGTCACCCTGGCCCTCCGTGGGGACGGTGGGGGGGACCGGTGTACCATCAGTTCTCACTCACCCAGTTCTCCATCTTCTTGGCCCTGCGCTCCAGCCCCTTCTGCAGCCGCTCCCCTACGCCCCCTGCGGTCTGAAATTCTTCCACCAGCTGCTTGGTTTGGACCCACTCCTCCTCGCTGATGATGGGCTGTAGCGCCTTGAGGTAGTGGTCCAGGGACTGCTGGAGTGGAGGCACGGGCAGCCGGGGCAGGGAGTCCTGGTGTGCTTTGAAGCGGCCGTACACCTTCGTCAAGGAGGAGGGCTTGAGGAAGCCCAGGGGCTTCACCTGCAGACAGCAGAACATTCTGCTCATTCTCTCGCCAGCTGTGAGAGGCCCTGGCAACCCCAAGACGCAGTCCCCAGGTACTTATATGCCCATCTCTGGGGTCAGAGATGGCCTCTTGGGAGATGCCCGCCCTGGCTTCCCAGCCTTCGAGCTATAGGCGTGTCCACCTCTCAGAGGCCTGGAGATGTAGGTAGGGATGGGGGAGGGGAGGGTGTGGCTACTGATATTGACAGGGCCCAGGATGTTGGGGATGGCAGAGGTGACAGGGAGGGGCCCCTCTTTTCTTACCCTGGGGCGATGGGTCAGCCGGCAGTGAGGTGACTGCCCCCTCCCAGACGTCCCCACCTCCTCTTCTCCCACCCTTGCCAGATTGAGAAACAGGAGGGAAGAAGAGAAAATCAGGGAGAGCCAGATGATTACAGCATCTCTGGGTGGAGATAAAGCCATGGGTTTTCTCCTGTCTGTGGGTGGGGTTAGGGATAGTGTCGAGGCAATGCTATGGCAAGAGAAAGTTGAGTGGCCTGGCAAGGAGGGTGAGAGGTGGCAGAGAAAGAGGGAGTCCGGGAGACTCTGGAGGCGAGCAGAAAGAGACAGGTGGGTCCGAGGCTGCTGGCAGCAGTAAGCAGGAGAGTGGCGGAAGCTCCGTTCCATACCTTCTCTTTCTGTTGCCCGTCTTCCATGGCAGGACTGAGGTTCTGAGCCCTGTCTGTCTGCCTTGGGCTGGATCTCTAAGCCTAACTGTGCTACCGAGTGGGCGAGCAGAACCTAGTAAGAGGGAGCCACTTGCCTGGGCTGGAAAGAGAAGATAAGAGCCAATATTCAGGGGGGAGGCAGAAGTGGCAGTGGTGATGGCTCTGGTGGCTGTGGTGGCATCTGGGGTTGTGGCTGGGGCAGGAGCAGCTGCTCCACTTGCCCTAGCTTCTAGAAGTAAGAAATGGGGAGAGCCCGAGAGGCTGGTGGTGGGCACTGGAGTAGGAGGAGACCTGGAAAACCTCCTTTTTTATCTGGATGGGCCCAGAGCCAGCGAGGCAGGCCAAGAAGTATTAAAAAATCCACCTGTTTCACTCCGTGTAGGTCTGTTTGATGAAGGAAAACTTGGCTGGAGGACAGAAACTGCTTGGCTGCTGAGTACACTGCAACTCTAAAATCAGCCCAGGAAACAGAGACTGGTGCAAGGGAGCAGACACTGGGAAGGACCATGGGCGGACAGTGGCTACTAAGAGCCCTGTCCATCCCGTTTCCCTCCAGTACTCCTGGAAGCCTTTTTAGGCCACCCTTCCACCAAAGCCTGGTTCTCTTGAGCTGTGGTTCATTCGGCTGGGGGCCAAAAGGGGAAGCCTTTAAATATTCAAAATAAACCAAAGAATAATGGCTTTCGGATTGGGCTAGGTTTGAGATACCAGAAATGGAATTCTAGCCAAATCTCTCCTTGCCTCAGTTTCCTGAGCAGTAAAGAGATCCAGTCACCCAGCAGGTCCTGGAGGATGACCTAGAGTCTGTTTGTGGGATGGGGACACAGCTCAGGTGGCAGTGACGTGGAGCCTTAGGATCCTGGAAGAGCCTGTCTACCACAGGCCCGCGGAGAGGCACTTTCGGCTCTCCGCCTGGTAGTTCCTGTTTGAACATTCTTCTTGGTACAGAGGGAAATACAACCAACCAATGATATGCTTAGAGTAGAGTGTAAAGGAACCCAAATCAGGATAGCAGCACCTTGCTCCAGGCTGCCCTCTGGGAAGGACTGAGGGATATATGCGGACAGGTTGGGGGAGGGACTGATAAAGAGGGAGCATGGGGCTGCCACCTGTCACCTCCTGCCAGTTCTCAGGACTTTCTGAGCAGCTCAGCTCGATGCCTCCACGTGAGTTTCTCTGGCCATACACAATTCCCCAGGGGCCATTTGATAAACCCAAGGAAGCTGACCAACTGGACTGGGTTGGAGAAGTGACTTTGGCCTGGGCTGAGAGCGCCGAGGCTGAGCTTGCAAAGGGTGCATGAATCAGAGAATAACCGTGAGAAGAGGCTCCCGGTCCTCCGGAGTGCCGGAGTGCCACTGTCTTTTCCGGGTCGCTAGAATTTAGCGCTACAGGACTTGGGCTCCCTCCGGCCTCTGACCTTGAGCCTCAGTCTCCTCTGTCAAACGGGGGAAGCCCACCTACCGACCCCACACCAGTAGCTGCCGGCCGGGCTGGACAGCGGCCTCCTGGTCGTGTTGCCTCGACAGCCTGTGTGCCTGTTTCCTCATTCGGGCACAGCTGCATGGCTGGTCCAGCCCACCGCCCGCCGCGTCCAGGGCCCACCAGGCCGGGTTCCCGGCGGCACTTACCACGGTCCTGGCGGCGAAAGCCAACATCTCTGCAGATCGCCCGTGGGCACACAGTCTGCTCCGCTCCCCGCGATAGGCAAAGTCCGCACAGCGGCTGTCGTAGATAGGTTCCCGCCAGAGCCTCCTAGCCAAGGTCGCCGAGTCACCTCCGCCGGCCAGTAAAGGCGGCCCGACGCCCACCCAGCGGGCCGGCGGGGCCCGGGCTGGCTACTCCGGGAGGCGGACTTCTCTGGGCGGGGCCACAGGACAAGACAGTTGCTAGCGCCCACGGCGGGGCGCGAGCGCGGGGCCGGGCGACAGTGCGGGGTGGGCCCGGAGGCGGGGCCTCAACGCGGGGCGGAGCCGGGGGCGCAGTTAGAGGTTGGGGTACGTCACGAGGCAGTGGAACCGGGAAGAGGGGAGTTCGGGGACCGCGGTCCAGCTCGTTCTCTCCCACTTCCAAATGCCGTCCAAACTGTTGGAGGCAGTGGTGTGCACCCATCTCAGTCCGTTCGGTGTCCTTGAGCGCTGCTCTCAGAGTGGTAGGAAAACACAACCATGTTGCCAGGGGAATGTCTTCTAACATCCCTTAGGATAGGATCAGAACCACACAGAAAGATGACAGGTGGGGAGCGCCCCGCAAAAGCATGGCTGCGCAAACGGCCCTCGCCCGCCCCGCAAAAATATGGCTGCCACGTTCCCAGGGCCCTGCGCCCGGTCGGCGGGCCGTTGATGCGCATGCGCCGGGGGCCCCGCACCAACATGGCCGCCGCCCCCGGTGAACGCTGCCGCCGCGAGCCGGCCGTTGCTGGGCATGCTCCCTGAGTGCCCCGCACCGACATGGCGGTCGTCTTCGCCGGGGTGACTTTAATTCTAGGTTTTCGGTTATAGCCGGCCGGTGCTCATTTCTCTGCAAAAAGATCTGAGCGCGGGGAAAGGAAGGGTGAGTGCGGGGGTGAAAGGTGAGGAGACTGCAGGCGTCCGGGCCGGCTCCTGGCAGGAAGAAGATGGCCGAGGGCGAGCGGCAGTCGCCGCCAGGTAGGACGCACCGGCGGGGTCCGGGTGGAGGCGCGGGGGCGGTGCCAGGCGCGGGGACCGGGAAGGGGTGTGGTGCTGGGGGCTCAGCTTGGCGGTGGGGGGGTCGGGAGATAGAGGAACTCGATGAGTAAGAGGCGATGGGCCCCGAGGAGGAACTGGAGTTGAGGGGCCCTGCGGGTGAAGTGGTGAGGGGCCTGGGGGCAGAGCAAGAACCCGGGGCTACGAAGGTTTGGTGGGTGGCCCGCAACGCCCGGACTTCGGGGCGTCCGGCTGCCCGAGGGTCGGGTGGGCAGCGCCTTGTCCAGAAGGGGAGGCCTTGGACACGTCCGCGCTGCGCTTGGTCTCGTGGGGAAGATGCCAGAGATGGGGGCTGCCTTCTTTATCAGACCCTGCTCAGGGTTTGGGGGATGCTCCGTCGGCCTGGGCCTGCTGGACCGCAGTCCCAGCCTCCTCCACATCTGCCCGCCCCTCATCCACCTCCCTCTCTGGGAAGCTGGCCTCTGGAGTTTCAGTGGCTGAGAATTTATTGAGAGAAACTGCCCTTGGTCGTCTAAACCACTAATTTAAAAAGGCTGGTTGTGCAAGATGATGAGCGAATCTCTCTCTGGCACCACCATCTGTAACTTTTATTTACACTGTGGTCTCTTTTTAGTTCATCTCAAATAGCTAGGGGAAGGATCTTCTTAAAGAGACTTGTAACCTGGAGAACGGGGAAGCTGTTTGCTGATCCCCCTCCCCCCTCTCGAGCTAAGAAAACTTAAAAAATTCTGTCAGGAGCAGATAGATCGGCCAAACACAGCTAATGTTTTGAAAGCATTTGATATTCCTTCTACCCTGTCTTACATTTTATCATCCCTGGAAAGGTCTCAAATTTCGAAGGTCACAAGAGGCTCCCACTCCTTCCAACAGATGAGCATAGAATTGGGTATGATCCGTTAGGGCATTCAGAACCAGACATTTCTTTTAATTTCTGTACATGTTCCCTTAGAAGTTCTGGTGATGACATCAAGGGCTATAAGACAACCAGAATTACCAGCGAGATGAATGTGTCTCTGAAGATGGTGGGCAGGGGAGAGAACCTGTGCACTGAAAGGGATGAAGGCTCAGGAGGTTAGCTATGGTTGGGAAGATCCGAGTTCCCTGGACTTGGTCCTTCTTTGAAGTTTGAAACCGGATGTTTTGGGACAAGTGGAGAGAACTGCTTAACTCACACAGTATAGTGGTGAAAGCCTTGGGTTTTGGAGTGAAACAGATCCGGCTCTGCCTGGCAAGTTGCAGCCTCTGTGAGCCTGTTTTCTTATCTCTTAAAATGGCCTCGCTACACTTTCTTCACGGAGATGTAGAGTGTGTGCCTTTGATGGTGTGTGTGAAGCATGGGACGTGCCCGGTAACTCAGTGTGGATTACTGTTACCTTTTTCAAAGGTGGCGCAAGTCAGGCATGTGAACTGGTTCCTGGATGGTGGATGATAATACATTATATTCTCTGGGAGTTTTTAGAAACATTTCTCAAACGTTGGATGTTTCCATCTTATACTGAGAGGTTTTAGGGGATCCAGTTGTCCAGTGGTGCCTTTTATCAGAGGCAGAACTTGATGTTGGGGAGACTGTGGATCTGACTTCATTTATTACAGTCCCGAGTTTGCAGGTTGTTTTTCTTTTTCTTTTTTTTGATTTAGGATTTTTTGTTCTGGCGGCTCGTGTGTGTGTTTCGTCAGTGATCTGTTGCAATGCTTCCTGTAGGATAGACTTCCCTAGGAGCAGGGTCTGGCCTGGAGGTTTTCCTCCTTGTCAAATAAAGTCAGGAAGGCTATCTGCTTTCCTGTAACAGTTCTCTTCAACTTAGAAAAGGACTGTGTTCCCATTAATCATTTGCAAGTTGGTTATTTAGAATGTGGAACACGTATTCCCATAAAAACAAAGCTTTTAATTTAACGTCTTATTAAAGTAGCAATTTACTAATAGTAGGGGGTCTCAATTTGGGGTTCTGGGACCAGGACTTGCAGAACAGGTGGGAGGAAGAAGGGAGTTTCTGGTCTCTTTCTTGGGCCCTGGTTAATTTCGAAATGGGCAGGGGTTTGCCTTGCTCTTGTCTCAGATTCTCTATCCTACTCCTTAGGCCTCCAGGTCTCCTGGCATTTTTCTCCCTCAACAATTGATACCTTACTTTCCTTGCAGAGAAAGGAAAGGCAGGAGGCCAGTGGATTTGGTTTAGCAAGGCAATACTGTCCTGGGAGTATGTGTCTGGTTTACACTAGGGCTTGTGTGTTGTAGTCTTGTTTTAAGTGTGTGTGTGTGTGTGTGTGTGTGTGTGTGTGTGTGTCTTGGGAGGATTCTATTTATCTGTTTGCTTTTCATTTTTTTTTCAAGCTTCTTCAGAGGATACCCCTCCAGCCCCTCAGAACTTCATCATTCCAAAAAAGGAGATCCACACGGTTCCAGACATGGGCAAATGGAAACGTTCTCAGGTACCAGTGGTGTCTGCACTGTAGGGTCAGCACTGGGATGAGAAACCCGAGCTTTTTCAAAGACAGTGGTTCTCTAGAGGCATGACTGAGGCTGTGAGCCCCTGACCCTCTTGCTCCTGAAGCCAGAGCTATTAGGAGCTAGGGAGGGAGGGGACAGAGATGACTGTCCATCCCTGTCAGGGGCAGCACTCAGACGCTGGGCCCAGGGCAGCCCTGGAGAGTTCTGCTCTGGGTTCTCTTACACCATCGCTTGAGTGTTGTATTTGTTGAACACGAGTGTCCTAAATGATGGAAGAGATCACTTTGATCCTCGGTTACAAGTAACAGCAAGTCAGGGAGCCAGTGTATCAAAGGGAGAGGAGGTTATTACGTGAGAACCTAAGCCAGGGAAGTGGCTGAGCCTAAAAATACCTGCGAACTGGGACCTAGAGCACTGTGGGGCAGACCGCCTTTCTGTGCTGCTCAGTCCATGTGGTGGGCAGAATATAACAGCTTCTACTTCCTGGGCCGTGGTCAGGCCGTGGAAAGACTGGGCCTAAGAAAAACAATGCTAATTTCAAATTCCCAGAGAAGGCCTTGGGTCCAGCTCCAGCCAGGTGCCTACACTGGGTCTGGTCAGCTGGGGTAGGGAGTGTCACTTGTAGGGAAGGGCAGGCTCCTGGGGTCCTGGCACGCTTGGCAGATTCTCTTTTAGGAGTCTGCTGTGCCGATGTTGGGCTAGGCTACAGGTCAGCAAATTACTGCCTGCCAGCGTGGTCTGGTTGTCTTCCTGCTTCTGTAAATACGGCTTTATTGGAACACAGCCACGCTCATTGGTTTATCTCTTGTTCATGGCTATTTCCACGCTACGAGGGCAGAGTTGAGAATTTGTTAACCAGGCTGTATGGGCCGGGGAGCCTAAAATATTCACTGTCTGGCCCTTGGCAGGTAAAGTTTACCAGCCCTGCTCTAGGCAGCAGCGCTTCCGGAAACGCGTTTGTTACTTTTCCTTCTGGTGTGCATGCTGAACGACGCCCGAGAGAGGCTTTCACTCACTCGGAAGCTCTTCCGTGAAACGTATGGATACTTTGTGACCGGACAAGTGACTCTATGCTGCGGCCCACAGTGTTTGACTAGGCAGCACAGTGCCGTGGCCAAGAGCATGGGCTTGGGGTCAGAGGTCAGGGCTCAAGGCCCAGGGCTGCCATTTTCCTCTTCTTGTGACTTAGGCAGAGTATTAACCTGGCTGAGCCTCAGTTTCCTCTACTGTAAAGTGGGGTTGTTTGGAGGCTTACGTGATTTAAAGCCCCAAAAGCACGTGGTCCAGCGCTAGGCATATAGTGAGCTTTCCTGAGCAGCAGGTGTGATTTTTATTGCTGTTAGTGTTGATGAGGATGATGATGATGATGATGACGACAGCATCAGTGGAGACCTTGCACAGTCGTGTTCATAAGGCTGTCCTGAGTTTTAGTCACTGAGAGACCTGGACCCATGTGGGAGCAGGGACTGTGGATAGTGACACTGCCCCTTGTCGTTTCTTCCTTGCATCCCAGCGTACTTCGCAGGGGTGATTGTGGACCCTGGCCAGAGTCAGGACGAGGGCTCATACTTGGCCTGGGCTGGGAGAGTTGCTGCCGGTGATCCACTGGGTCTGCCGTGTGACTCCTCATTTCTCCCTGCGGCCATCGTGTAGACTGGCAGGAGGATCCTGCTGCGGGCATGCTCCCTTCCAGATACCGCGTGCTTGCTTGTCAGAGCTCATCTCGCCTTGCTGGGATGCCCGGGGCGTCCTCAGGGCTTGAATAGGAGGAAGGCAAGGGGCTGACGGATGAGCAAGAAACAAGGTGGAACAGAAGTCGCGGATTCCCAGGAACTGTCCCTCTCCAGCGGCCTGCACCTCGGTGATCTTTCATCCTTGTGCTGGGTGCAGCCTGCGGCCCAGCAGGGTACAGGGCACCCAGCTGGGAGCTGGGGGCGGGCACGGGCATGCCGAAAGGCCTGACCGTGGGCAGAAAACGCTCCCTTCTCTGGGGAGCAGGCCATCTGCATTGTAGGCAGACAGCCTGGCCTGTTTAGTGGGGGAGACATGTTACCAGGGGAGGGACCTTGGTGGCTTCCTTGTACTCCTGGTGGCATAGTACACTGAATGGTCAAGTACTGGGCCACTCTGCTTTACATTTTGGCTGGCTGGGTCCTACTCCGCCTCTAATGAGATCTTGGTCTTAGGAGACCTTGCGCAAGTCACTTCTTGTGAAGCCTTGGTTTCCTCATGTGTGTAGAATGGGGACAGTGACGGTATCTCGCTCGTGGGGTTGCCACGTCACTGCATGCACGTGACGGCAGCGATCACGTGCATGCAGTGAATTGGGTGGAGGCCCGGGCGTCGTTGGCTTGCCAGGGCTTTTGGGTGGAGGGCAGGGCTGGGGCAGTCAGCATTACTCTTCTAGTGCTCCTGCTACTGGGTTGGGAGCCAAGGGCAGCTTGGAGCGGTTTGGTAACTGGATGGAGCTGGGAACCGGCTGGGGAGTACAGAGTCGGGGGGTCTGACAGCCCTCTCCTTGTCCCGCCCCTCCCTCTCTTTGGTAGGCATACGCCGACTACATCGGATTCATCCTCACCCTCAACGAAGGTGTGAAGGGGAAGAAGCTGACCTTCGAGTACAAAGTCTCTGAGGTAGGCAGGGCCCGTCCCAGAATAGCTCCACGGAGTCACTGTGTGTCCCTGCCCACAGCAGGGCCAGTGCTGAAAACAAGATCACCCAGACACGTGTGTCGCTGACATTTTGGTGTCTATATTTCTATGCATAGTTGTTAACGTGAGATCAAGGTAAATATGCTGTTTCATAGTTTGCATTTTTGATAACTGGTATGTTTATGTAACTTTTTAAATTGAAAAAGATCACAAAGGAAGTAAATGTGCTAACTGAAGAAATTGCTGATAGAAACGTGTATAACATTAATGAAAAAGCTGCCTCTCCCCACGTTCCCCCTCATTGCTGACTCCTGGGGCAGCCCTGTTAGCCGTTCGGGAAGTGTCGCCCAGGCCTGCCCGTGAGCAACCCCCCCTCCTGCAGTGGAAATGCGCCTCATCTGTTTAACACCCACCCACCCCCCGCCCCCCGCAACTGTAGACTTTTAGGTTGTTTCCCTAAACACTGCTGCTCCGAATGCCTCTGCACCTAGATCTGTGGGTGTTATTTCCTAAAGATTCATTCCCAGCAGAGGAAACGCTGAGTCGAAGGGCACACACTGCCGGGGTGGGGTGGGGGTGCTCTCTGGCTGTGTTTCAGAGACAGGCTTGTTTGTGGAGGGAGGGCAAGAGCTGTGGGGGCGCTGATACCCATGGGAAGCTGTGGGCTTGCGAGCTGTTTGCTCTGCTGGCTGCCGTCTTCCAGGGCTGAGTCCCGTCTTCCAGGGCTGGGTCCCAGGCCTCCAGCGCCCTCTTGGGTTCCTGTCCCAGTTAGCCCGGAACCACCTTGAGCTTTTCTTTTCATCTCAGACATACGGGCCTGAGGCGATTCTTGAGCCACACCCCCAGCCTGTTGGGTAAGGCCCAGCCTCTCCGCCTTCTCTGAGACTCACATTCCCCTAATAGCCTTCATATTCCTGCGCCCTAGCTGGTTGCTGGATGGCCAGGGTCCTGGTCTGTCACTTATGGGGAGCCAGGCCTATGCGTGGGATTGACAACTTCTCTTGGAGCTGGCACACCAATGTCTTCCCGGGTTCCTCTTGGTCCCACCAGTGCTCTGGGACTTTGGCTGTGAGTGCAGATGGCTGGGGGAAGAGAGGGCTCCCCCTTGAGTCTGGCAGGGGATGCTCAGCTGTGCTCAGCGGGCTGGGGAGTGTGGTGCGGAAGGCTAATTAAAGGGGCACAGGTTAATTACCCCAGCAGGTCCTGGGCTGCCAGCCCCTCTCACATCCCTTAATTGCCCCTGAGCCTTTTATGGGCGCTGTCCACAGCAGCCAGGTGTTGTCTTAGCCCAGGGGCTGCTCCTTTGCCAGGACCGCAACATGGTTAATAGTTTGGGTTCTGGAGTGAGGCTAATCTGGTTTCGATAACCTCTCACTTCTGAGCTGAGTGGCCTTGTTCCCTCTGACCGTCGATGTCCTCATCTACAGAGTGGGAAGAGCCACAGACCTACTCGTGGCCCCTGGGAGGATTTGCCGAGATCTCACAAGTAGGGCGTTTTTTGCACAGTGCCTGGCAACATGCTAGATCACGTTATCGTTATTAATTAATTTGCAGTTGAAATTTCCAGTAATGTTGTTGCTTCAGTTGGGGTTCTTCCTGAGCTGAGGCTCATCCCGGCGCCGGGGCAATGGGCTGCCCCTCACTTGGTGGACAGAGGTGACTAGCTCGGTCTCCAGGGGTCTCCCAGTCTCTGCCCACAGCTGGCAGGGGCAGCAGGAGGCACGGTCAGAGGGCGTAGCCTCGGCCCCCAGGTGGGGGCCTCTTTCAGCCTGGGTCTCCTGTTTCTCCTCATTCCTGCCTCCCAGTGCGGGGCTGTAGCGGGGTGAGGGCAGAGTGGCCTCGGGTGGCGATCTCCAGGCTGCCCACAGCAGAGGGAACCAATGAGGGTGACAGGGTGAGCTTATCTAGGCCCATGTTTAGAGGCCACTCCTTTTGAGATTACGTCTGTCCTGTTGTCTGGGGGTTAAAATTTTTGACTTTTGCAAAATAACGGTGATGGTAGACAGGAGGCTTATTTTTTATTGTTGCTCTGTTTGATTTTTAAAATGAGGGCAAAATGAAGAAATCGTTAGTAAAATACCTGTCCATGAAATCTAGAAAAGAAGCATTGGCCTCGGGAGCGGTGTTGCTTCAAAGTATTCTGCGTTCTTCCTGGGGTGTTCTAGGCCACAGTGCCCTCCCCTTGAACCCTCTCCCCCAACTAGCCAAACAATAGAGGCAGCCCCCTTAAACCCTCTCCAGAAAAAGGAGCTAGGAGCCTTTTAACTGTTTATTGGCCCAGCTGAGCTAGCAGCTAGGGCTTGGCTGCCACCGGCCTGGGGCACCGTCTTTATCCTGCTCAGGGCCTCACCAGGCTGAGGTCTCTGCAGTGGGCCTTGCTGGTGCTTCCTGGAGCCGGGATTATTGTGCCATTCCCTCCTAAGTCCCAGGTGCTGCACGGGGTCAGGTTTGCTGTGTCCTCATCAGTGTTCCTGGTGACCTGATTCTTCACAAAGCCAGGCTCTGTCCGCACTTTCTGTCACATTTCGGCAAGGTAGCTTTGTGTCACCCTGGCCCTCTGACTCAGCCGGGTACAGGGGGAGCATTCTCTTCTTACAGGGGTCTTTTTCCTGTCTTCCTAGACCTCAAGCATAGGGAAAGGGGAGGTGAGGGAGGGCCGCTGTCATGTTGCACAATGACCGGAGGCACTATTTACATGGATGGGGATGTGATTTGTGCCCCCTGGAGCGTGCAGCCAGGGGCACTGGCTGACACGTGTCTCGCCGGCTCACGCCCGCCTTCCCTCCCCAGTATGCACACAGCTCTGGGGTCGCGTCGCTGCGGTCTCCACGGCAGACCTGACGGGTCTCCTTGTTGTAGCTTTTCCTGTGGGCACTGTCCTGCTGGTTCCTGCCAGTGCCAGGAGCTCCTGGAGACGTCCCCTCATGCCATTTGTGCCCAGCAGATACAGGCACCATCCGCCTCATGGCAGGGTCCCTCCCTCCAAGGGCGGCCTGACTCACAGTGTCCTCTGCATCATGCGCCCCGCGAGCCCTTCGTTGCCCCTCGTTTGGCCCATTTCTGTCAGCCACGTCCTCACAGACCCGTGATTTGGACAGACAGCCTCACCTGACTTCCTCACTGAATATTTGTGTGCCGATGCTGCCCTGGCCTGTGACACCGATTGCACCCTAAGTCCCTGCCTGCTGTGGGATGCGGGGTGGGCTCGCGAACGCAGGCGGCCCTCCAAAGCCTTCCCCATGCTCATGCCTCTGATCCAGCATTTTCACAGAGGGTGAGTTGCCGGGTGCTTTATCATGGCGTTTGTGGTCGTGAATAATTGGAAACAGCCCAAACATTTAATAGATAGGGATTCAGTAAATAAATTGCAGTACACTGGTACAATGGAATATTATTCGCCTATTAGAGGCTATCATAAAATTATGTTTCCATGTCGATGTGGAATGAAGTTCACGAGGAAATCAACTACAAAGCAGCGTGTGCCCTGTGACCCACATTTAGAGTCTGTACGTGCTAACCATCACTTCGCCTTATGCAGGGCGCTGCTCTGGGCAGCCTTCTCGGTTGCCAAGAAGTCCTTGTGACAGCCTTAGAGAGTGTTTATCATCGTGCCTGTTTCTGAGATGAAGAAACAGGCTCAGGGAGTTAAAGGTACTTGCTCAAGGTCTTGGCGGCAGCTCATGGTGCTTTAGCTGGAATTTGGATCCAGGTCCATCCGCCTTCAAACTTCTCACCACGATCAGCAATGCAAAACGCCACATGAAGACAGAATAGAAGAGTGTGTTAAAATGTTAATAGAATTTATTTCTGGGCAGCAGGATTACTGGTCATTTGAGTAGGTATTGTGTACCAAACAGAAGACCCAGTCAAGTCTGTGGAAGAAGGCCAGGGCCGCAGTTCGTGCTCGTCCAGCAGCCCCCCCTTATATAGGCCGGCTGGAGGACTGGGGTGCCGACGCCACACCCGTCCCTCGGCTTAGCGCCAGTGTCTTTCTGTAAAGCTCTGCTCCCCGGCCCCCTGTCCGTGTTCAGGATGGTCAGGAAGAAAGGGAGAGGCAAGGAGGGTGCCCGCGAGCGTCATGCCTTGCGGTCACGGCTCAGCAGCGGTTGGGACTTCCCTCTGTGGCTCTAGCATAGGACCACTGGTCATCGTGGCTTGGCCCCCTCTGTTTTGCCTCCACAGGCCATTGAGAAACTGGTCGCTCTTCTCAACACGCTGGACAGGTGGATCGATGAGACTCCTCCAGTGGACCAGCCCTCTCGATTCGGGAACAAGGCCTACAGGACCTGGTATGCCAAACTCGACGAGGTGAGACGGCCACAGACAGGCTTCGGGGCTGGGCTGGGGGCAGCGTTCAGGCATATCGGAGTCGCTGGGACTTTGTTAAAATGGCAGTTTGATTTACCAGAGTACAAGCGCGTTTATTCTCCGCCCTAGCCGTCTCTGGGAATCACTACGTGGGTGTGTAGTCCTCTGCGCAGGGTGTTTAGTAGGTCATCGTTTGTATTAACAACACGTTGAAATATCCCGAGTGTCTCTCTGCAGGAGATCAGTTAAATAAACTAGTACGTCCACCCCTGGAGCGCTGTGCAGCTGTAAAGGAGTTTAGGAGTCTGGCAAGGGAGCTCAGGGAGCGACCGCAAGTCACTGTCAAGTTAAGAGCAGCCAGGCCTGTGATGCACATGGCAAGCTGCCTTTGGGTAAGAAAGAGGGAGAAATAAAAAGATGTTCATATTGCTCAGTTTGCAGTGACAGAGGCACATCCTTGTGGAAGGATACACAAAAGGTGAAGAAAGCGATGGTTTCCTTTCGAGGGCAGAGAAGAGGAGGGTGGATGAAACGGGGTGGAGTGGAACTTCTCAATGCATCTCTTATAATGTGATCATTTTTGAATCACATGAAGGTGATACCCGTTCAAAGCAAACAAAGAAACAAATGCAGGATCGCAGCCCCATGCTTAGAAAAGCAGAGTCTGCAGGTCTGGAGTAGGGCCCAGGAATCCAGGTTTTCAGCAGGTCTCCTGGAGAGTCTCATGCCAGATGTCCACAGACTGAACTTAGAGAAACTTGGGTCTGAACTTCTCTGGCCCGTGGAGCAGAGGAGTGTCCTAAGGACCCAGCAAAATACTTTTCTGTCCTAGGAGTGGTCTGGGCTGCCTTTGGAGTCTAAGATGGCACATGGAATTGTTTTTTGTTTTTTGTTTTTAAGATTTTTATCGAGTTATAACTTAAAACTGACAAATGATGGCTGTACAGCATAACATGTTTTTACCCTTGCGCTCGCCACCAATATCAGTCTATAGAAATTCCAGCACGGCCCTCGTGACCCCTCCTAATTGAAATCCCCCCACTGCTCCTGATTTCTGTGCCATAGATTTTGCCTGTATTTGGACTTCATATGAATGTCTGGCTTCTTTTGCTCAGCGCTGTGTCTGTGTGATTCGGCCACGTGGTCGTGCATAGCAGTGGCTCTTTTTCACTATTACATAGTGTTCCAAAGTGTGACCGTACCACAATCGATCCATTCTACTGTTGGGCATTTCATTTGTGGGTGGTTTCCACGTTTGGCTACTATAAGTAATGCTGCTGTGAAATCCTTGCGTATGTGTTTTGGTGGACACGTGGCACAAACTCCATTTCTGAAAGTATGACACCCCTGGGCATGTCGACGAGACCAGATGGGAGATGGAGTGGCTTCCTTTCAGATCCCTGCGGTCTTGCCACCAGAACCTTGTCACCTGGAGGAAGAGTGAGCAGATGAAAAGCCACCCCAGCGCAGTCTCTGTCGTGT